GGACCGAGAAAGTAGCAGGTATTTTTATTAGTTGTTGAGAGATATATTAGTGTGCTCCAGAGGAACCGAACCAATAGGATATATGTAGAGAGAGAGCTTTGCTTTGAGAGATTGGCTCAGGCTCCTGTGGGGAATGACATGACCGAAATCTCCAGGATAGACCGGCAGGCTGTGGATGGGTGTGAGAGTTGATGTTGCAGTCTTAAGACTGAAAGTAGTCTGCAGGCAGTATTCCTTCTTCCTTGGGAGACCTCAGTCTTAAGATTTTTCAACTGATTAGCCCCACCACATTGTGGAGGATAATCTGCTTAACCCAAAGCCTACTGATGACAGGTTAATTACGTCTAAAAATAACCTTTGCAACAACACCTAAACTGGTGCTTGACCATTGACTAGCTAAACTGATGGATAATATCAACATTAAAAGGGGTATGGATAGCTTGAACCAAAGACCAAGAACAAATAAAAAAATGTCAGGTACCAACAAGGGCCCGGATAAGGCTGGAGGCCAGTTTTGTTGTCACTACACCACATGATTGCTGGGATTTTCTCAAGCAGTGCTTAGGAGTCTGGATATAGGAGTAGAAAAGGTGAATTATGGACATGTCCCAGGGATGGAGGAGATGGGCGGTTAGGATCTGACTGTATAAGGAAGATGAATGTGAGGAAGATGAGCGATGGCTGATTAGATATTTATGTAATTGAATAGGTCAAGGCTAGTCAGGAAAAGAAGGGGTGCCGGAAGGGTCTGTATGACTGAGACAGTAAAGTGGTCTGGAGATCAGAGGGCCCTATGGCATCAAATGCAGGGGTGGTGGGAGTGACTACTTGAGAGCGTTGACCAGCTGGAAATAAAGGAAACTGTCATCAAAGAATTAAGTGTTAAAGTTTGATATGATGTGTGAGAAGGATGTCATCATTGACAAATCCAAGCAGAGGAATGGTTCTGATGTTGGATAGGTCTTCCACATGTTCATTGGAATCACCCAGGATGGTGGCCATGCTTGGACTAACGAGGAAGGTTGTAATTCATATGCCAATATTTATCATTAATTGGGGCGGTATAACAAGACAGTTGTTAGAGACAGTGATGAGAGGTAGTGGTATGTGACCAGGTGCCATGTGCCTCAGAGATGGAGTGTGGGAAGCAGTAAGATTTTGAAACAGCCTTGTAAAGCAAAAATAATGCCAAAATTTTCTCAGGAGGCTTGTGGGGTTATGAGTTTCAGGAGAATAAAATGCTTCCATCAGGGAGGGTGTAGGGAAACAGCATAATGGTTTTGGTAAATGTCAAGATGGGGAAAAAATATCTTCTGATGACTTCGAGGATGTAGTTTGTTTTCCATGAAATAGGAGTTTGAGAAGTTGCTGTTAAAATTTGTTGGAGCAGTGGAGGTTAGAATTCCTATATAAGAGTTTTAGAATAGAAAATTGAGTGGGGGCTTAGAGACTTGTCTGGAAGCTGTATTTGCAGGACAAGTACCTTGTTTCCTTTGATTGCTGGATGCAAAAACCTCTGTCATCCGTCCCTTGGCTTCTCACTCATTTGGGTGGAGGTGGGTATGTTGAGGCTGGAAGAGTTTGAGATGAGAGAATGGAAAATCTCCAGGGACAATATTTTAGCTAACAGTGATAAGAGGTCCACTGAAATGAGCTGGTATCCAGGTAATGACAGTGTTCTAACAGAATCACAGCAGACCAGCTCATGTGGAGGGGGTGCCGCGATGGCCGTGAGAAGCCGGAGCCAGATTCAGGGCTGGCAAGTCAAGGGCTTGGACACTCGGTTCATCCTACTCATCTAGAACTAAACTTGGTTCAAAAGTCACTCTCTAGAAAATTCTTTTCCTGACCCGCCCTCTCATAGAGAAGTGATTATTTCTTCCTTTACCCTGAACATGTTTGTTTTTTAAAATTTTTTTTTAAAGCTTTTACTTAGTTTTGAAACAGAGAGAGACAGAGCATGAGCAGGGGAGGGGCAGAGAGAGAGGGAGACACAGAATGTGAAGCAGGCTCCAGGCTCTGAGCTGTCAGCACAGAGCCCGATGTGGGGCTCGAACTCACAGACCGTGAGATCATGACCTGAGCTGAAGTCGGACGCTTAACCGACTGAGCCACCCAGGTGCCCCTCCCTGAACATGTTTTATCAGAGCGCATACAACACTTTTTGGTTTATATACCTCATCACCTCTCCTCAAGCCTAGGCTTCCTGAAAGCAGAGGCTCTATGTTATATGATGTTTTGCCCATGGTTCTGAGTGCCGGGTACCTGCTGTCAGCACGAAAATTGTCACCATCACACAGTAAGTGGCAAAGCTGAGTTAAACTCTGTAATTCACTAGTTCATTAGATCAAAACGTTTGAATATTCATTACGTGCTAGGAAAATGCTGACTTGGATCCACAGGGATGATCATGACAGACATTGTGCCCTCATGGCGCTTAGAACTTAGGGACATTCTTAATTTCTTGATCTCAGTCAAGTTCAGTATACACTAAGGAGAAGCCTGAAAACCTTGAAAAGGTATCAGTGACAACACCATGTGAATTCAGACCTCTTTCCAGGCACCGAAGGACGCTGTGGGCAAGGGATTTTCTGATTTCACAGCTCCGTTAGCCTCTTTCAAGCAACACTATTGCCTCACCTCTCAACCTCAGATTGTGTGTCTGCCCTGATATGCCCTGGCCAAAAGCATGACCCTTGGCACATGGCTTCTCTGCATTCAGGGCAAGGCTCATTGTCAGGAGAGCAGGTTTCACTGGGCTGGAATCATGGTTCTAGAATCAGAGCGAGCTCTTCAGAGAACGGAGTGGGCCCAGATTGTGTTGGCCAACATGCTCGGAGGTGCATTGGTGAAAGAGAAAGCAACTGTCAGCGCTCAGAAGGAATATGAGACAAAACAACATGGTGCGTGTTGGACAATTCAATAAATAAACAGAAGTATTTAAACAGCATCCCTCAGGCAGTTCATTTGGTGAAAGAAAATGAGCCTCAAGTCTCAGGAGAACTGAAACAGCAATTATCAGCATTGCTTCATTGATTCTTCCCCCTCTCTACTTCTCTTTCCCTTCTCTCCTTCCACTCAACATTTGAAGATCTTACCTGTGTCTTCTTTGTCCCACAGCAAGAAAAACTGCTAAGTTTGACAAACTCTTTGGTCTAACAGAGTCAGACCAGCGTGGCCTGTCCGGTCTCCTTCACCCGGCCCCAAAGGGATGCTAGGCCCAGAGCAATGACTCCTTCTCAGTCCCTTCAGGAAGCAATTCATTCCACGAGCGTCTTAAGGGATAATCTTTACACGCCTTTCTGTGTGCCCTTCATCACAATTCCATTGTCAGCCATGTGAGTTCAGCTGTTAACTGCTCACTTAAAAAAAAATGATCTCTCCCCACCCTCATTTTTCCCAGTAACAGCCTGACAAACAGATAGCACCTGCCATTGCTCACAGAGGAAAATACAAGAAAATGGAAAACTAAAGGCGCGAAGCATGAGAATCCCACTAATGCTCGATGACTGATCTTGTTAGCACGCATAGTGCGTCCTCGGATTTTTCCAGAACTTTAGATCTCTCTACTGAACAACCACAAACACACACAAAAGCACTTTGGAGCAGGCTGCATAGCACACCCCTCCCACCCTCTGCCTGGAGCGTGATTGTCAGTCTCATACACAAACCCAGACAATGCTCTCAATAGGCATCTTTTGGGGAGACAATTGCGGAAAGCATGATAACGGGATTTGTCACCCTGATGTGGCTGCTGTTTCAGCAAGCATTTCAATAATGAAAGAAAGTTTTACTAATTGTAAATGTGAATGAATTTCAGCTGTCTCTTAAAAAAATTCTTTTGGAAGAAAGCCAATTAAGATCATCTGTCTAATGCATCTATTCACCCCCACTGCAACAATATGTCAGTTATAATAGATGTCTAATAAACTCAGACTTCTCAGGACAGGGTGCTGAGCGTGCTGAAACAAGGGAGGGATGAGAGGTTCTACCTGAAAAATGTTTGGAGGTGACTGATGAAATTTTCCTCTGTGAAATTTTAGTCCACAGTGGGGTAGAACTAGGGGGCATTTACAACACACGAAGATGGAGTAGGTTTCAAAACAATGATGTGTAGTATCCAGAGCCGGTCTCTTTCCTACTGGCAGCCTGGTGCCCTGTCATCTTTCCAGGGAACTGTGAGAGCCAATTGTCAAATCTGTGGCCTGGCTGCTGGATGCCTGCTGTCTTCCAGGCAGAGGGGAAGCATTTACCTTAAACAGAATGCCCAAGTACCACGGAAACTGAAGCATAGGCAATTGTGCTGACAAATTCTCTTCCGTGAAACATCTTCACCTACGTGGATGGGACTTTCTCTGTCACCGTCTCAGCCGTTTCTCAGAGTTGCTCAACTAGCTGACATTACTTGTTGAAGGCCCCACTGTAGTTAGTCCAGTTAGGGTACTCTGGTCTGCTCTTTGGGGTCATAGGGTGCTTTCTGCATTGTGATGTGTGTGTGAGTGGTGACCCACACCTACTTCACTAACATCCAGAGTCCTGTCACTCCACTTATGAAACATTACTAGTGCCTTTGCCAATATCAACATCACCTCCACCATCACAATTAGTACTAATGCCATGAAGCTGGCCAACACTCTTGCTACCCCCCCCCTACAACAACATGGCCATGTTCATCACCCATACCACCAGAACCCTTAACATTAGTGTGGTAAACTGCATGATGACTCCCAACAGTATCCAGGTTTTGATACCCAGAAACTGTAAATGTCACTTTATATAGCCAAAGGCACTTTGAAGATGTGATTAACAATCTTGAGATTTGTCGGGATATCTCAGATTATCTGGGGCTTCCAATCTAATCACAAGGGATACAGAGTTTCTAGTTCCCAAATGACACTTTGACATTGTTCTCTATCAGGGAAGGGGGAAGTTAAGATTAGCGGCCTAGATATTTGTGCAGAAGTCCTAGATAGTAAGTCCCCTTCTCTTTTCAATTCCAGATTGTTCTATGAGGACGGTACAGTATTGATTTCCAGTTTACATAAGACACTTGCTTGGAAACAAATTACAGGTAGGTACTGGCCTATACATTTTCTTACCTTAACAGTTCAAACCTCAAACAGGAGGTAAAGTATCCTCTTTTATCTACTTACCCTTGACCTATGGCCTTAGCCATGCGTGGCATATGCAGATGATTTTGAGAATATTCAGTTGTGGGTAGGCTACATGTATAAAAGTCTAGAGACACGGGAATGCTTTTTCTAAGTCTGTTTTTCTTGAAAAAAAAATCCCATTGAGGAAATTATCTGATGCTTCATACTCCCACACATAAAAAGAAAGCAGCTAGAATAAGAAGAAAATCATCAATTTTATTACCATTGGCAGGATTTACTAACCATCTATTTGCACATGGCTGGGTCCTGGGCAGGGTGGCCCTGCTCTTTTAGAGCTACAATGAGCCTGAATAATTTAGATTAGGTGACTACACTAATTGAATTTACCACGTAATTAGCTCACGGTTTTCACTTCACTTTGCCATGCAAATCCTTTCTAAAAAGTAAAACCCATTCTAATTTAACTGTTTTATAAATACTTCAGATCAAAGCTTGGCCAACCTACTTATATATTTATAGAAAGAATATACCTCTTTTGAGATATATTTTTGAAGATTAAATGTAGCATTGATATGATAATTTATTTTTTCTTTCATACAAGTAATATGACTGTATTATAAACAACTTGGAGAATTGACAAATACATAATCTTATCTCTTGGACATAATCACTTGTAGCAATTTGACATTTTTCCATTCACTTTTTCCTATACTAATAGTTGTCATATAATTAAAATTAGAGTATATTACAGATAGAATTTAAAATACTTTAAGTAAAATATTTTTAAATGTTCACATTAATTTTCAGTGAAAATTATGGGTAACCGTCATAGTGTATGCACATATTTACCTAATATGTAACAAATATAAAAAAATTGGGGCGCCTGGGTGGCTCAGTCGGTTGAGCGGCCGACTTCGGCGCAGGTCTTGATCTCGCGGTCCATGAGTTCCAGCCCTGCGTTGGGCTCTGTGCTGACAGCTCAGAGCCTGGAGCCTGTTTCGGATTCTGTGTCTCCCTTTCTCTCTGACCCTCCCCCGTTCATGCTCTGTCTCTCTCTGTCTCAAAAATAAATAAACATTAAACAACAGAAATTTGTTTAAAAATATATATATATAAAATTAAAAATGTAACAAAATGTTTTTGATGATAATATGCTGAAAAGCAATTTTAGAAAATTGAAGTTATGCCAAATGTGACTTAATTTATTTCTATTTGGCATACTAAATTAATTTATTACCTGTAAGACATATATAACCATCATCATTGGTTAGATGCAGGGGAGTCTTGTCTGGGTGTCAGTAAATCTGATAACCTGTCATTGGAAGCCATGCTTAGTGCACATCAATGCAATCTGAGAAACATAACTCTTACAGCTGAACCTATGAGCATTACCATTAGTTTTTACATGATATTTAAAGTACATACTACTAAACCATACTACAAGCTATACCTAGACCTCTGTAAAGTAGCTTTGATATTTTGTATGGGAATCAACAATGTTAAAAATTTGAAATACTATTTGTGTACATGTAAGTGAATACTTCCCTTTTTGCTTTAAAGATAACTGTTAATATAAATGCTAAAATTATTCCAACTTCTAGTCTTGCTCGTATAGCTTTAAAATGTGTTCAGTATAAAGCAGATACAGAATTCATGTTTCCTTTATGTTCCTTTATGTGTCAGTGCCTCCATCGATAAAATGGAAACATCTACTTAATATTTATGTAAAAAATACAGTTGAAAAGAATTATTTATAAAGCATTTGGAACGATAATATTTCCTTAGGAAGCAAAACAAATGCAACAAAATTCAAATTTATACAAATAGAAATAGCAAGTGTATTATCAAAATAAAAAACACAGAAATTATCATCAAATACTCATCTCTGTAGCATCTTGGGAGCAGAGTGGAACACTAGAAAAGACATGGAATTTGGAACTAGCTGTTTGGGTTTATTTGGGTTTAAATCCTGGCTCTGTTCTCACTTTATGTTATTTGGGACAAGTCTTAATGACCTTGAACCTGGTCTTCTTCATCTGCTGAAAACAACATGATTGTTACACAGGGGTTTACCAAAATGTATGATCTTTGCCGTAGACATTTTTCTAGAGCTGTGCTGTCCAATGTGGCAGTCACTAGCCACATATGACTATTTAAATTTAAATTTCAGAAAATTAAGTACAGTAAAAAATGGGTTTTCTCAGTTGCATTAGCCACATTCCAAGGGTTCACTACATGGTTAGTTGCTACTATATCGAACAGAAGAGATAGAGAAAGTATTTCCAGCATCATAAAAAGTTCTACTGGATAGGACTGGTACGAGCATAACTGTTACTTGGAAAAAGAAAGATGTGTGTTAAAAAATGTTGGAAGCAGTGAGTTAAACAAAGTGAAACATGTTACCGTACTGCAATACACATCTCGGAGCCTTGGCATAGAGCTTCTTGTGCTCATGCCTCTACTCTCACCCTTCAGTGGGACTCCAGTCCTGGATTCTGGCTCTCCCTTTCTGCACCACGGTTCAGAAAGTGCCTCCACACAGAGCGGGAGGGCAGGCGCTGCAGTCTCACCTCCTCTGTTCCCTATCTCTCAGAGACCTCCGAGATCTCCTGCACTGCCTGTTATCTGATGTCGAGAACTGTTGTTTAATGTATTTTATTCAGACTCCCTGTTTGTGGTGAGAAAACTGGTTCGATATTAGCTGGAAGCAGAATCACTGGTTGACTTTTAGGATGTACACCATGTCGATGGAAGGGATAAGTGCTGTGTGTTGATGCTTTTAAGAAGGGCTGTTACTTTTATAAAGGAATGTTCATTAGCCACCTTATTAACTACGTGGTGAAACATTGCTTTTAGTATTTTACGTTCTAACATGATTGTTTTTATTTCTTTATAAGTGCTTTACTATTTTTAGTGAACACGGGGAACTGGTTTAGGGGCTGGGGTCAAAATGAAATGCATGACAATTTTTCTTACTTAAAATAATGGGAAATGGTCTCCTTAGCCAAATCATGCACAAGGTCTGAATTTCAGAAATGTCCGAATTACTAATGATAACTGAGAAATGTCTTGATGTGTAAAAGGCACTGACTGTTCACTCACACTCCTTATCTGTCATTTTCGCAACTATATCCTAAGGACCTAAAATAATTCCTGGCTCATAATGAGGTACCATGAAATATTTGTTGATTAAATGAATGATAGGTCTTCAAGATGGAATCTTCTGTGATGATGATGATGATGATGAGAATTATGATTATTGAATATTTGTTGCTATTTTAATTAGATAAATCACACTGAGCCACTCCATGTGCTAGCTGAATTAACTAAAATCCCATGATCTTTGTCCCTGTCCAACCCCTAACATTTGTGTAGCTGAGGGTAAGAGTACAAACGGAAGCCCACATATCACAGATCCAAATGAGAGTTTTAAGTCAGTTACTGAACATTTCAATAAAATATGTCCTATCCAGCTTCCTTGATAGATATATATTCATAATAACTAGAAAACCAGGTTTGAATTTAGAATTCTTTGACTCTCAGTGTTTATATTCCAAGGTAGGGGGCAATCTATTCCCATCCCACAGCCTGTCCTCCACACTTGGCTTTGTCCTGACCTATGAGGATTGTTGGATACACACTTTTAAACATCCCACCTACGTGTCCAAGCTCTGGCCACAGTCTATGCAAGCACCTGTCCCTTGGTCACCCCTCCAGCATAGGGACATTTATACCAGTGATGAATTGAGACTTCAGAAGCACTGACCCAAGGACTCCATAGACATTTGGGCAGATAATTCCTTGGCCTAAGCATCAGGGACTTGATCTGGCAATCCTGGAAATGGAGTGTACATGGCTTCATGTACACATCTCCCCTCAGTCCAATATAATCCTTTCCCTTAGAGAGAGGCATGGAACTGGAGACCAAAGCAGGCTCTCTAACATCCCAGGACCAGGGCCCTTCTTGGCTGGACCTAATACATTGGGATTATAAGTATATGGGAAAATGCAAAAGTTGAGAAGCTATTCATGTAGTGTTTTTTTTTTTCTTTAATATTGATTTGTTTTTGAGAGAGAGACAGCTCAAGCAGGGGAGGGGCAGAGAGAGAGGGAGAGAGGACCTGAAGCTGGTTCTGTGCTGACAGCAGACAACCTGATGCGGGGCTGGAACTCACAAACTATGAGATCATGACCTGAGCCCAAGGTGGTCGCTCAACCAACAGAGCCACCCAAGCACCCCTCACAGAGCTGTTTTAATAATGGCAGGCATTTCTCTCCATCTGACCAATATCCACATACCCGTCTTTCCTATAAATAGAACTCTCATTTTGTTTGGGGAGCAACATTCCCAGCTGAGAAGCTATGTCTCCAAGATGCTGTTGCAATTAGGAATGATCATGCACTATGGTTCTGGCCAATGAAACATAAGGACATTTTTTTCTGGGGATTTCTGTGAGAGCTTTCTTCTCTTTGAGATCGTCTCTCCCCTTCCCTCCTTGGTGCTTTCTTTTTCTTGTCTGGAGCACATATACGAACTTGAAGGTAGAATGGCATCTTTATTATCATGAGATGAACTCAGAGATAAAAGTCACATGGTAAAGCTGACATAACAGAAACATACAAGAATCCTGGTATGTTGAAGACATTAAAGAATTGCTTCACCAGCCTTATGTGAACATAAACCCTTATCTTGCTAAGCCATTACAAGCATGTCTAATAAATGAGTCCAAATGCAACAATGAATAAGATGCAATCAATCGATTTTATATAATCCTTACTCTTCAACAAATGTGTGTGGTGTTTGTTAGCTTATACCAATAACAGGGGAAGATGATCAAATTTATGAATTAAATTCATGAATTATCTTTTTGTCTGTCCAGTAGATTTTAAGCTCCTTGAATAGAGGAGCTGAGCTTTATTTATTATTTTCCTCAGTGCTTTCCATATAATCTGAAAT